AATAAGTCAATTGACTATATTCATTCAAAAACCATGTATCTGCCATGCAGATATATGCTCAGCAAAAAAAAGTCTCTGTTTGAAACAGGAAGTATACAATTCTCGTTGAATCGTGTTGCGATGAGGTGGTGTGTAGCCTGAAAAAGTAAATTAGATCATGGCAATCTTCTATGACTTGAACACCTTAGTACTCATGCAAAATCAAAGATATGAACAATTTAAGGAAGAGCTACATCAACATGATTGACTGTCTCTTATATAGTCAGTTATGTAATTTATTTAAAAAAAATCTATGTAACTACACTGAGCTAGTAAAACAAGTAAAACAACAATAACTTTATTCAAATGATCAAAGAAATGAATTAAACTTGAATAACAGACTAACAAATAGTTTCGTTGCTTATTTAATAATAAAATTACAGTTCGAAAGAGCAGTGATACCTATTAATCGTTAGTTCAAAATTTTCTAATATCTAGTTCAATGAATTCATTGCTATGGATAAGATTTGTGACGTGACATGGAAAAATGAATTGGCTATACTGAAGTAGGTGATGAGAAGTGTAGTATATGCTGAAAATGATATCAAAACATATTCATTAGCGTAAGAATAAATTTTAAACAACATTTGAGTATACAATGTTGCTGCAAAAAAATAACAGACTATCGATCTTTGACAGAAGGATATACAATGAGAGTATGAATTTTAGCTTTATTTTGTATTTTTCTGAAAATAAACTCATAACTTTAGTTCAACACACCTACTTTGTTCATTGATGTATCATCATCTTAGACATTGCCTAGACTCATTATTATCTACTATTATCTATTATATTCGATGAGCTGTTCATAATATATTGTAAAACATTATCACTTAGTTAAGGTACGTATGGAAATGATCAATTAATCTATATATTGCGATAAATAAGAATAGAAAATAATCTGAATCTTTTTAAAAGCCACACAATAGTTGAGTTCGAAAAAACAATACTAGCTTTTCTTACTGCAGTACATGAAAAATGATGTTCTCGTCTGGGTTTGCATGAACTCGCTTGATCCTTAGTTAGTTCTAATCCTAAATAATGGCGCATCTTTTTCCTTACCTTGTTGATTATGTATTTATATTCAGTCTTTTGTTTAAATCATTTTTGAAAATTTTATTTCAATTGGTATAAATATTAGTAAAATAAACTCATATATATTAAAAACAGTTGATTAGTCTATAAATGTTCAATTATTACAAACCGAAGATCATTAAGAAAATGAATATTTCGTATACAAAACACTCATCAAAATACTTTTAAAAGTAAAAAATATTATTCAAAACAATATGACAATTGATTAAGAAACATGTTGAATACTCGTTGAACCAATTAAATTACGGTTGTAATTTAAAATGTCCTGAAGTCGCGAAAAATTAGTAGCACATTGAGTTGAGCCAAGAAAATAGATTTAATAGTACGAAATAATCGGTACCTGTTAATCAAATGTAAATTAGTGACAAGAAACATCCATCAATAAATGAAAATATTTGATGGATGCCGCTCTTGACAAAAGAAAACATCAAATTTAGATTAAAAAAGGAACTATCATAGATACAGCAAATACTATTAACTTCTCTTTAGTTAACATATGATACAGCAGATATTATATAAAAGAATCGTCAGTGAGCTATGTTCATTAGCTTAGCAAACTAATATAGATGAAACTACGAGAGTCATTACATGAAAACAATCGCCATCTGAGATGGTACGCTATGCTTACTAGTTTAATCTATCTTATGCGTGATTGTTTCTAAAAAAATGTACTGTACTACAAACATTGATACATGTAGGCTGAATGTTTAGGACGACTTGCTTTCCATAAAAAACTGACTGCATCACAATATTTTACTGATCATGTTTTCAAGATTCAGACAGGACTTTTTTTTTTAAAATATGAAACGTGTAGGTGGTAAATATCTATAATCAAACGTGAAAATACTTTTGTATTTAAGACGAAATATCTTCTATAAAGGCATACGGTATGAACAAAGTCATATTGTATATATTATTTTTATTAAATATTACCAGTCTTACAATATAATTACCTGGTATTGCTTCAGATAAAAATTTACGTATACCAGTTTTACGTAGATCACCAAATGATCGACCATCCACTAGAATGGCCAAGTTTGCCAGATGATCAAGACGAGCCTTTTGTTCATGTGTAATTGTATTAGAAGTTGTTGGACGTGATGCTGCAGGACATGCAAGATGAATCAGGTGGTGCTTGTTAATCAAATGTTTTCGAAGTGTCGTTGTACCACCATTGATTGTTTTGACGTACAATTTGCATATTTTACATTGAGCCTCATCAGATGATAATTTTTTTGCATAGTACCAAACATTAGATTTAAGATTTTTTTCTTCATCTGGTGCATCAATATCAATAGTTTGATTTTCTTCAATATTCGTATCTATAACAATAGTTTGACTTTCTCCATGAGTTGATGAATTTTCTTCTTTTTCATTATCACCTGGTTGCATATCAGTATCATCAAATGTTGTAGCAACATCAGATGTAGTTGTTGTAAACCTTTGTGATCGACGACTTTGCCGATAACGACCCATTCAGTAGACTCAGCTAGAGTATATTGTTAGAAAAAAAGATCTGAAAATAAAAAATTAGATATTTCCGTTCAATATTAATTTCCTAAAATAAAAATAAATCGTAACAGACAATGAGTGCCCTCAAGTCAGTCATGTATTTTTTCGAAAATGAATTTGAAGTGCATAGTTTTACAAGCGATGCAAGCTTTTGATGCGAAAGTCATTTGATCTAATTGTAATTTGGGAATACTTCTCTGATTATTGATTCAAATAATCTATTCCTATCAAATGAATCACGAAAACGTCGTGTTAGCGTTTTATACTTATTAAAGTTCTTCGAAAGTTATAATGTACATATAGATATTCGATGCTCTAGATGCGATATTTCGACTAAGATACCGAAATGCAATACGGCACGCATAAACTTTATTGTAAAGTGTAAAACGTTATTTATGGATAGCATCATTTCAACTACATAATTTCTTTGGTGTATAAACATAAGAAACAGAAACCATGCTTCTCTTGTGATATTTGATAGAGAGTATGTGTTAGTTGTCTGAAGCGGAGCATAGTACTGTCTAATATGCTGAAGAATATCTCTTTTCATTCTAAAGATAAACTAATGAAAGTACTATATTCTAGTTTATCAATAGTCTTATCCGTTTTATAAGAGAAGCATAAAAGAAGGCATTGTTGCAGTATTTCATAGGATGAGCAAACAGAAATAAAACGATAAATATGAGTTATACGTTCATGAAAAGCCAAGTGAGACTCATACCTGCTCATTAAATCATTGGTGTAATTATACGAAAACCGATATATTAGTTTATTCGCCT